TATACAGGGAGACACGTCGTACGCTTTCGGGTGTATCCGAAATGCCTGTACTAAATGGATCTAAGGTGTCGTCGTCCACATCTAGCAATACGTCCGACCAAAACGTCCGACCTGCCTACAGATCCCTAGGAAACGTAGTGATCTATCGAGGCGAAAAACCTGATAAAAAATTGGACATGTCGACCGTTCACGTATTTCCCGAATGGGTAGCCAACGAACGGTACGCAATCGATAGGTATCAGCCCAGATATTACAGGAAGACTCCGAAATTGTTGTCTGTCGTGTCCAACAACTCTTTGGTGATCGAACCCATTAAAGGCATCATATCGAGTGCGGTAAAAGCGTTCAATCACAAAGCATACGTACACCATTACATCCGACACGACTGCACTTTGGGCGATTTCAAAGATACATTCGCCAAGTTAAATTCAATTGTAAAAGCGTATAACGAATTACACGAATAAAATTGTTGCAATCATGCTCTTCCTTATCACTGTAAAGGTGAAACTCCAAATAAGGTCGTCATGGAAACGTTTTGATTTTCATTTACCGAATAAACTCATAAATCAGATACCAGTAGTATGAGAAGTTCCATGGAAACTGTGATTATCTTAGTTGTTTTTATGTACATTTATTCAGGTCACAATTACTTGCGTGACCCGACTTATGATCGGTGGGGAAGTGACTACATCCACAAATTCGCACTATCACCACGTTTTATGCCTAACCTTATCGCCTGAGAATAAAATGATAACAACTAGGGGTATAACGTCATACAGCTATAGATAACCCCTTCCAACAAGAAAAAACATAGAAACTTTCATGGAAAAGGAACTGTCTATCTTTTTTCTATATTACCTAGTGGCCTATCCATTATTTTATTATCTATGTCTCTATATTCACCCTTCCTTATCTCTTATCACTTCTGCTGCTGTAAACTAGGGAGTGGGCGGGTGCCTTGAAACGTATTCATGATTCGTGTGTTTCTCCTTGAAGAGTAGCAATTTGAACGTTACACCATCTTCTTGCAATTCACCGGTTACTTTTTAAATTCTTCTTTAAGACGCGCCGTGATTCAGCTGATCGGTTAGGTTCGTCAAACGAGCATGGCAACACCATTGTACTCTGTAAAACACTATGCACGACCACAAGGAGACACACAAACGATGACCAACACTTTTTGGCCCGAGCGTATCTATAGTTTTCGGTTTCTTGTGTTCTCCCATTCATGAGCCACCGCACCGTATGCACACTATGCAACTATACACCGTAGAGTAACGACGATAATATACATAATAATATATTCCAATCAACCGTGAATGTCGCTATGCCTCGGACCGACTACTCTATGTTATCCAGCTATAGGCTATAATATAATGGCTGATGATAATATTATTGTGTAAAAAGAGTATCGACACAGTAGAACGCGTCCAGGAGGAACGGACGTCATCCGTGCACGGCGAACGTAAACAAAAGATAATAAACTTTTCCCGTCACCATCTATTATAATAACACAAAGTTAGGCTATGCATATTTCGAGTGTATTTTTTTTTTCATACCCCCCTTCCATAATAGTAACATTTTATATAATATATATATATATATTACATATATTTCCCGGATACCAAAATAAATCACGTTCGCCGCCGCCGGTTTGCTTTCACAGAACAAGTCAAACACAGTACACTAACTTCGGCTGTTCACTCAACATATATTTTATCTTATACGAGTCGGGTCAAACCATAGTAAAGTATATTGAAGCCAACGTAATAATTGTACTAGAGACACTGACATCTATTATGTATTCCATTATCCACAAATTTTAACTTACTTTTTTTAATTGCTCGAGTAAGTCATTAAAATGCAAAATATTTTTGTGTAGAGTTACTAATTAAGCCGACACGGTCCACGCACAATATGTTTAGGTTACATTGTAAAGAGGGTCGACAGATTTCAAAAAAGTAACGTTTATACGTATTTATTATTTTTTATACCTACTTTTTTGGTGGTGGAAACCGACGTTTTTGGATAATAGGGGGAAAATCACCTGCTGGGTGGTCGGTTCTCCTCTCTCGACGTTTATCTCCCAAATAATAACAGTGATTATTGCATTGGCACGGACTATTGTTGTTTATTCGTGTAACCGATACTCAAAATAAACGATATCCTCAAAAACACAACCTTCTAAACACTATAATAATAATCATAAAAATCGACCGGTAACCACTTAATAATATCGTTTCGTTCCAACGCATGTTTCCGTTTTGTTCCACTCTAGACCACTCTTATTTATGAGCAAAAAAAGGAAGCTTACTTAAACGCAATATCAAATATACCACTTGACATAAATCAGAAAAAAAAATGCCTAACCGTTGCAATTAATGTACGACACTATTGGTCAAATGAATACGGCTTGCCGACGATGACTGGGATGTACTTATAAAATTACATAAGATTTATGACATTAGAATAGTTTTTCATATAAATGAAGCGTTATTTTGTCTTCAAATTAAATATCATTTATTTCCGATTATTTGTGAATATTTGCCATCCGTCGTTTATTTTTGTTATCTTTTATGAAGTATGTTTGAATTTTTTAATTATCTAAGACCCATAATTTTGTATTGGTGAATACAAAGTTATTTATTGTTGTTTTTTTTTATATTTCTTATTTAAGAAATGTATTTGAAACTATCACAGATAATTTTGTTTTATTTTTAAACGATAAATAGTCTTATTATATGTGATTAATTAAATGTTTAATTACACATACAGATAGGTATTTCTATTTGCACGCATTACTCTACTGCCACTCCACCTCCCATGCTACACTTTAAACTTAAATAACTTTAAAAGTAATTATCCAAAACTAGTTGTCGACCAGTCAAAATTTCCAGCAAATTATTCTCAATAAAATGGATATCTTGAATATTATAAAAATAAATGTAACAAAAGCAAAAATTAAAAAAAGTAAAATAGTTAAGTGCAATAAAAAACCGTAGAGCTTATAGCGCAGCAATTGAGTATAAATTAACTTTAAAAAAAAATCTTAAAAATATTCACCAGAACAAGTTTTTTTCAATTGTCTTATCTTTGTGGGACACCCTGTATACACTTATGTGTGTTAAGATATGTGAGTTTTGTTTTTTGCTACAAGTTTGCCATAACTATCCAAGCTATCATAAAAATAATATCAGACGCGTCGCCATTGTGGGCTTTTACAAGAAATAATGTTAAAAAAAACTCCGGGGTTTTTCCCAACTATTTATGGTTAGGATTAACTATAGGACGAGTGATCGTTGTGCACATAATATTATACTCACTTGGTTCAAGTCAGACGGGCTCCAAACTTGTATTTTTGAACTTTGTGGTCGACCTATAATGATGTGACGGCGGCGGCATAGGTGTTCTCTTCTATTCTATTGCGCGGTTTCATAACACACGGGAAGTTTTCACCCTTATCGACAGGTGCCGGCCGGCAAGTAAGTGCTTCCAAGTTTTCTCGAGAGCTCTTCTTCACTCTGCACAATATAATAAATCATCTGTCATAACAATGACGAACCACAAACAGCAACAGCCCTAATGAACCGAGTTTACACGCCGCGAGATGTTTTGACTGAAAGCAATCGGTCCATTATTTGTCTATCACAACCACCGCTCAGTCGTCTGACAATAAAACTCAGATGGCAAAAATGGGCTACTGAAAATGTTCAAAAAATCTAAAATAGCTGGAGTTATAGCCAAGTGAACTAGACAAATTTTTGTTTTTCTGTTATTTTGAAAATAAAAATGCTAAAACTTAATACGTTTCTTTCGGCTATTGAAATAAATAGTTTAAAAAAATGATTTACTAACAAATATTTACTTAATTTTACACAATACACATTTTGTAGAGAAATTTCTCGGCTACTTTAAATGTTTTACTACGTCCCATTGCATCTGTAACGTATAAATATCATGTCATAAACAGTTTTTATTTTTTAAATGTTTTAAGTTTTATAGAACGTTCACTGTCTGTATACATAATAACGCAATATGTAAAATTGTGACGGATTGTTTGAATGGGTAAAATGTGTTTTTCAAGTTATAATAATTGTATAATTCCTCTTGCTTATTTTTTTTTTATTCGATGGGTACGTTTTTTTCCCAGTAAAAACAACACAAAATACTTGTTTACAAAAAAATATATAATGATTTACTTACATTATAACATATATACATATATATATATACATATATAGATAGTATAAATTATATTGTACATTCGACATCTTCCTTTGTCACGGAAAACCGTATGTATGTATGTATGTATATATATATATTTTTTTTTAATGTATGTACACCTAAAGAATAAACGAATAAACAACGAAACAAAATAATATTAGATTACCGTTTTACTTATAAATTTATAAATATTTATAATAATAATAATATATTATTAATACTATTTACAATCGAATGATGTGAACTGTGAACTGCGGTGGGTTTCAAAAAATAATCCAACGTAGGCGAGCAGTAATATTTACGAATTAATATTTAAACCTAAATAAATATTATAAATTAAAAAAAAAAAAATTATCCAATGAGATTTAACAAAATTACACAAGATTACCGTTTGTTTACAAAGATCACACGTTTCTTCATATTTTAAACGCCAACATCAAATTATTAACAAAACAATTTTTTTTTCTTCAATAAACGATGCTAACATTTAATATTTAAACACATACACACCTCGCACCTTATAATAATAATAATAATAAATTAAAAATATAATATTTAATATCAACGACGCGGTATGTTTTGATACATAAAATATATCGCAACAACCTAATAATAAAAAAATTATAATATTTTTATTTACACAGTTTTCTTCTTCTTTTTTTTTGTGTGTTAGTTTTGTTTTGTTTTTATGATCAAAATATATAAACATTACAATACAATAAATTTTGTCTTACAAATAGAAAAATAATAAATAACTTGTTCACATCCTTTCGGTGTTTTCCTTTTTTTTTTTTTTTTACTATTATACATTATTATTATGTAACCGTGTATAAATTATTGCCACATAATTCGGATAGGGTGGTGTCTTCTTCTTCAACTCATGAGTTCGGTACCTTAAAAATACAAATAAATGTAAACTTATTTTATTTATTATAATAAAAACGCATAATATACAGTAACTATAGGGCCCATTGTGGCCATTTGGGGATAACTTGAAAAACGCTTTTTAGATAGGTACATTTTTATTGTATTTACCTTGCTAAGAATGATAAACACTTTTTAGGTGACTTCGTCAAAGCTTATACGACGACCAAGTTGAGTAAAAAAAAATAACGACTATGTTAAAACTACCGGAAATTCGGGAAGAGAAAGAGCTCTCGACTACTCGACTCGGACATTCCCTAAGTATACCTATATTTAAAATAATTGTAGGGCATTCCAAAAATCTCCTCGGTTATTGTAGAATATGCTTAACAGAAATTGTTAACAAAATTCTAGGCCTAAGTAGACGAGTCGAGCACCTTTAAATGGACGTGAGTAACGGTACTTAAAAAAAAAAAAACGTAAGACTTGGTCAAAAGATTGACACATATTTCTAATAGTATTTATACATGTTAAAGTTAGGCGACAGACATTATACCTCTTAATCTTTCTCTTTGAGTCTTACTATATCATTTTCCTCCCTTATTATAAGCATGCGCGAAACAACAAAAAAAAAAATTTACATGAAATCCATTAATTTTATATTGTTTAATAGAATAAACTCTTTAAGATTATATCCTTGAAACATTATTTTTAACCTATTAGCTTCCATGTGTCGTTAATTGCAACTATCTAATAATTTTTTCGGTTTTTAGCCTTTTTTTTGTTTTTGTCTTCCTAGTCTAATTAAAATGTCTTCATTACCGCGGCTCATACATTTCAACATACTATGATACATAAATAGGTCTTTTTTAAGATTCTTAAAAACTTTAGGCATATTATTTGCCTCACGCCGCCGACCGAGAAGACATATTTTGGCGGCAACGTTAGTTACACAGGTTAAGGTTGATTTTTTTAAGAAATTAACTATTTTAGTTTTATCATGTACAATAAATACGAGGTAGAAATTCAAGAACTAAGCGAATATTCGAACTTTACGAAACAAGAAGCTTTACTATCCATTAGAGACTGGTAGACTTTGGTCTATCTGTTATTCGCCTATCGTAGCGATATTCGAGTTCTCCGCCTGGTCCTTGCTCTCGACCAAAACCAACACACTGACCATCCAGGACCGTTATATAAATAATCAGATGCTACCGGAAATAACAGGGAACGATGATGATGATGATGATAATAATTGGGTATGATACACACCGGAGGCGACGACGACGACGATAATATTATATATACTTCTTTGCGGTAATTGCGGGCTGACCCACGCGACCATGTACCCGGTAACAAAAATTTCAATACGGACACAACAAGCAGCAGCAAAACCACCACCAAATATTTTTATTATTATTATTATTTACTCGTTGTGTGTTTTTCGGACTCGTGTGGTGTATAGTGAGTAACGACAGCGACAGTGGCCACGGCGATGACCACGATTCGTCATAGTTATGATAAAAATATAATAATAATAATAACATACACACTAAAACAAAATAACCGCGTCGAAACGCGATCACATTTAAATAATAACAGACCGTTGCACGGTTTGTAAAAAAAAATAATAATAATAATAAACGTGCCCGGATGTATACTTCCTTCGTACACGACGACGGCAGAAACTTGAGAAAACGGACTTGGCCATAAGACGTGTCCGCCGATGGCAAACGGTATCGAACGAGCAAGAGTCAGTTGCAATTCCATCGATTGTGCAAAAGACACAAGTTAACAATGTTAAATAATCATCTCTTCCCTTCAAAATCCATAAAGAAACGCCCAAAAATATTATTTTTTTTTAACAATTTATAACTTTTTCAAAAAAAATGTACAACAATATTTCCGAATGACATTGAATTATGAATATGTGTACTTCTGCCCACTGCTCTTACTCACCCTTCTCCTTTCTTTCCCTCACTTTTAGTAAAGATAAGTGAAAATACGGATTAAATCCATAAAATCATCTATTTTGGATTATATTTAATCTATATCCTAATATAATCTAATCCTATTCACAATAAATAATCTCTTATCAATAACCTCTTTCAGCTGAATCCGAACCCAGAACCATTTACAATTAAAACAAACATGCCAAAACGCCTCGAACTTAGGCAACCCTAACAACACTGCAGAAAATGATAAAATTCAGTAAAATAATAATTATTACTATGTATACACTATTTTTTTAAAAATAAATGACAATTTGAAATTACGCGTTATAAAGGAAAATCGCCAAGGGAAGCTCATTAAACGATAAAATGAAAGATTTAAAAAAATAATAATAATAATTCCACGACCAAACGGGTTTACGGGTCCGTGGACAATAATTGGAAGCGATAGCATCTTGATACGGTACTCGTATTATATCATATAGCAGTGCGTGTGAAAGGAGAAAAAAATCAAAACAAATGTTGTGAACACCGACTCAGGAAGCTGAGGGCATATCCGAATAGAAACAATATTAGCTCATCGCGTCCCCTAATAGTAAGTACAAATGAGTGTTGGAAACGCATTACAAACGTGTTCTCACATTCCATCATCTATCCGTCAGTCTGCGTACCATTAAAAAAAAAAAAATGTAAAAAAACGTTAACGTTTTACAAAGGACGTTCAATAATAGATTTGAATTTTTTTTTTTTAAAACAGTACGTATAACTTCAAGTAAACACACTCACCTTTAAAACCGGCTTCTTCCTCGACGACAAACTCCGGTAAATCTTCCGTGGGTTCGTCAAACTAAAAAAAAAAAATTAACAGTTTTTAAAGGTTCTAAAAAAATACATAATAAGGTTCAAATACATTTTTTTAGTAAAATTATATTCATTTTTGTTTTACAATGGTATTCTTCAAAACTCAAACGGTTTTTTAATCATATGATTTATTATTATATCAGTTGATTTTCAGTCTTTTATCAGCTGATTTTCTTATCAATTATTTAATAATTATCGATTTCCCCATTAATGGTACATTTAGTAGCTTATACAATAATCGGTTAAGAAGGAAAATGTAGGTTACTTTGACCAGACTACAAAAAAAACAAGCGAAACTACTTATTTTTAATGTATAAAAAATACCAGAGTTTATGAGCTATTTTGTACAAAAATAGAAAACTGTCTCGTTCTCGAATAAATGGTAAAAAAATAACTCATTCTTCTCAGACTAATTTTTTTTGCTAAATGATCATATAAAAAATAATATTAATACAACCGCCTTTTAATATGTTGACTGGGCAGACATTTAGCACATATATATATATATATATATATATATATATATTGAGAATCAAAACATCTTGCAAAAAGAAGGGTCGCATCCCAGATTTAAAATGATGGTCTTTCAGAGTTAATGCTTAAATTAATACCTATTTAATTGTTCGATTAGAATCAATCTTGATTGAATTGTGAAAACGTTAAATAGATTTTAAATTTTGACTTATTCGATCAAATAATTAATTGTTAGTAGAATATTTAAAACATTAAAATTTTAAAGTCAAACATCACGAATAAGAAAAGAAAATATTTCAATATACATGGTTTGAAAATAACATTGTGTAGCATAAAAAAAAATAGAAATTATATAAGGATAATGTAATTGGCGTGAAAAAAAACAATTTGAACTGTCACTCTTGCCAAAAAAAAAAAAAAACCCATTAGAATCATTACACCTAAAATGAATACAGGACAAACATTTTATTAAACTTATTATATTTTAACTATATACACAAACTCTACTTAAGCCGGTCGAGTAGTAACTAGTATTATTCGGATAATTTTAATTTTTTTTAACTTGGATGAAAATTGACTTGGCAATTGAAGTCAGTCGATAAAATCGATATCACAATAGAATCTATTATTAGCATTCCAATCTATGCTCGTCGACCTTAGTGGAAAAATTATTTTCATATACTTTTTTTTTCTATAATCCAAAGACGTCGTTAATTCAGAAATTTGCAAAATAATTATTCAAATAAACGGAAAAACGTAAGCCCACTTGTCTCAATAAAACCCTTAACCACAAAAGTAATACGTTATAGAGTAATATTTTTGTGGTTAAGGTTTATCAAAATATTTTGTTTTTTTCGAATAACTGTCTTGGACAATTTTCAAACTTTTTCTTACCATATTAGACATTTTTTTTTACAGACTATTAAACGCGGACCGCCAGAAGAAGTGTAGAAAAATATATAAACCACCCCGGCACTTGGTTAAACCTACATTATTTTACCCCCGTTTCGTCCTGAGCCACCCTCGCGCCGCTCCACACCATATAGACCGCATAATAATAATATTATAATTAAACACTATCATACCGACCGGCGGGTACACATGGCGCTGATGCGTGAACAATTTTGTTCTACACTTCATATATCACGAAACCGAGTCGAGGCGAGGCGAGGCAAAGCAAATGCACATGTGCATAATACACACACGTATATAGTATTATATTATTATGTATATACATATAAATAAATGGGTGACAAGTAAAGAAGTCGTGGGAACTAGCCTGGGGGTCTGATGGCCCAGATGTAGCCCTGCCTGTAGTTTTCATCATCGACACGCAGCATAAGATCTACATAAGACACACACAGAACATCTATATACACAGAAAAAGCGCAGCACGTGGTGTCGTTTCTGCTGTACACGCGCGATTTTATACCTTTTCGAAAAGGGCCAACGTCCTACCGAAAGCCGAACCTACCGCAGGGTAAACGGCCTCTCGACAAGTTACAAATCATCCAGCCAGACCCACAAATAAAAGAATTTCCTATAAAAAATAAAAATTTAACCGCCAACACACGCCGTTTAAATTGGCCTAAGGGACAAAACCGTCAAAATTGTGCTCGGAATCGCTTTAATACCTACCCATCTCCTAATACGCATAGGTGATGAAAACCGTAAGTTGTATAAAAAAAAACCCTTAGTCGGCGCCAATAAAATTCTAGACTAATTCAATAAAAAAAAAAAAGGCGGTGTTTAAAATATACATGTCATACTAAATATCGGATCGAGTTTTAGTGATCTCGGTCAAACTTTTAAATGTATTTGACGAAACTGCTTTATAATAACAATAAAAATACCTAATTAGTTAGTTAAAATTAATTAAGATCTACCGTTTGCGTACTATGATGAACTTCTTTCGAACAATGGTTCTTTCTTTTGAATATATATATATATATATATATATATATATATATATTTTAATATTAATAAGCTGTAGTAGTGTCACTGGACTCCTACACCAAGTCGTCCAGCTTTGTAAAAAAAAAACAATTGGCCATTTTACTTATTGTACATATTAACACAGATTGTAAATATCTCCAATAAAAAAAAAATATAAATAAATACATATTAGGGTGGCGTAGAAAAAAAATGTTTTTTTTTTGTTCCTCTATTGTTTGATATAATAATATATAAAATCTGAGCTCGTTTAATATGGTTTCATAGAAGTTTTAATTATTAAATATACGTTTTTTTATTATTTCCGTTTTATTATTTTACGTTTTTTATAAACGATAGAGTAACTTCATGGAATTCGAACAAAACTGTCAGATTCAGAGAATATTGAAAAGTTTTAGTTTTAGACAACGAATTGTGCAAATTAATAAAAACTGCCTATATATGTATATATAAGTATATTAATAAGTTTATGGCCGGAGTTTAGTTCAAAACACTACATTAAGATCGAAATATGTTCCAATGTGGTTAACTCGATTTATTTACTAGTTTACTTGATTTCACTCAGTCGTGTGTTGTTTTGTAATTGTTAACAAGAATATGTTTTATGGTTGGGGTTTCGATAAAATACACAGTTATAAACCATAAGCAAAATTTCAAAATGTATTTAAATTATATCAATTTGCAATGAAAATAAAAATCATAAGAGCGATAAGCAATTAATAATTACAACTGTAGTGTGATAATAAAATTCAATGACTCCAATACGAGTGAGAAAAATGGTTTAATAATAATTATAAATCAATCTATTTTTTTTCTCCGGTAATTAGCACACAATCGGCGTTTAATTTTTTTAGACATCAATCCTTTTTTTTAACGTTTATAAGGGAAATAAATACGCGTCAAAAGTCAATGATAAAAACATATAAAAATACAAGTGTAGCATTAATCATGTCGCTTTCTCATATTGCTGAACATTTAATGGCGCCTAACTCATAACATATGTAAACAAAATTGGATATCATTTTTTATTAACACAAAAATACTTCTTACGACCAGACATCATAATGCTAGTTACAAAAAAAAACGTTAAGTTTGGTTAGGTTACTAACCTACGGTTAGCCGTTTAGGAGAAAATCGCCCAGTATAAAAATATAGAATAACACAAACGGATTATGTAAATACAAGCTTATTAATTATGTTTTTGAACAAGGTGGCAGTTGACGACGGTAAGACGGTTGATACTATTATTATTATTGTGGACGAAGCAGGTGATGGCGAAAAAAAAAATACCAAAGTATAAATGGAGCACCAGGCAATTACTTGGGATTCCAAAGACCTAACCTGGTAATTCACGGAGCACGTGTCTCGGCTGTCCAGAAAAAAAATCAAGACCAAAAAAAAAAATCCTAAGTAAACACAGTTTGTTTCAATCGAAACCTATTCAGCTGCCGCCGACGTATAAACTCGATCATTATAGTGCCGGTTAGGACTGTTTTTGTTTTTTTAAACAATACTATTGAATATTTATTATTGTTATTATCATCATCATTATACATTAACAACATAGCGTTTGTTGCAGGTGAATCAGCGACGACGGCACTTACTCCTCCTTCGGTATATCAAAGTATGTTACTCGCAACAAGAAGAATATTATGCAAGTCATCTATTATAATACCGACCGTGATAAATTATTATTATTATTATTATTATCGACGACGGTTCAACTAGAATGCCCGGAACGTTTAACGACAACAGCGATACGGAATTTAAATTCTAGAAAAAAAATACAACCACTATCAAACATGTTCAATTTTTTTGATGAAAATCGAGTTATCGCCTGATTTTTAGTGTGCTAAAGTTGACTAAAGTTTTGTTATAATAACCGTGTTAAAAATGTCAGTCTTAAAAATGGTTATTTACTTAATAAGAGATAAGCCTCCCGAGTTGTTCATTAGACAAATTGTAATGTCGACTCGAATTTTATGCGTTGGAATTTTTAAATATTAATTTACTAGTTAAATTTCTAAGTTTTAACTAAGTTTACACACATTGTAACACATTTATTCTACGACAAAAATACAGCTTAATAGGATAAAATCAAATAATTTCTAAAATTTTCATACGTAATTTAATTAATAGTTACTTTTTTTAATTGTATTGCGAATACATTAGATGTTTCTGACAAAAATAAAATATTAAAACTGTAAACACTTTGTTATAGTTATAGTAAATGAGTATTACATGATATTTAATAATTTGAAAGATTATACTAAATAATGAAACTGATAGTTCATATTAAAAACGGTTAACGATGGGACAGAGTTTGATCTTCTTAAGAGTGTTTCAGCAAATTTCAGACTGACCACCACCAGCCATATCTGACATATCTATGTTAATATAATATCTGCGTTCTAAACGCAACCCAGTGCGGAAAGGAGATGAGGTTTTTTTAAATAAGAAAATTATGATAAGGTAATTGATTTTGTTTTTACTGCTAGCTCCTTCCCGGTTTTGCCCAGACAGTTTTTTGTAAAATCGCTTTCTTCTCTGCAATTAGCGCATTCTATTGTTATTATTACACCTCGTGTAAAAAGGGAACCGAATCGATAGGACTATTTTCGACCAAGGCGTGGAAAATAAATAAATCATTGGCTAACACAGCAGAAACGGTCGACATTCAATAAATACCCGACTCGGTCAGTTTTGAAGAGCTTAACTCCTCGTATCTGTGCTCGCCATTCACATTGGCCTAGTGAAATCCGTTTACCAGACGATGGCGAATATTCCTACAGACTTTGAATTTATGTATGCGTTCACCACATGATTTATTTCACACTTCAAAGTGTTTCAATTTACAAATCCTACACAATCGTAATGTTTTTTTTGATCGATAATAGTGTCTGACAAAAATATACAAAGTCACCACTCACTTTTGCTAAAATTAGCGAATCGGGAAGAATAGCAAGGTCGGCTAACGTGGCTTCGTTATTGCTCAACTGCACGCCTTCTGCAGTTTTCAGATGCTGATCATTGGGCATGACGTTGAACGCACTCATGATCTGCAAAAAAAAAAAACGTTACATTCACTTAAAAATTAACATTTTGTTACTCGCAAAATTAAATATATACACATAGTAAAAAAAGCCAGCACAGTGGGATGGGAGAGGTCTGAGATCTGCCTTCAGTTTTAATGTTCAGGTCTCAAAAAAGCTAAATAATCATAAAGTTTCCAGCCTATCTGTGAAAAAGGACATTTAATATTATTTTCATTTGTCAACATATATCGATAGTACTTGTGTAAAGAATTTTCCTTACAATTTTGGAATCAATTAAGACTATTAGGAGTTGAACAAAGAAAATGTGTAAATATGTAAGGTATTTTCTCGATTTTGAAAGGGGAACGGGTGAATTTTTAGAAGTTTTGGCCGAACATTTTTGGACCAACTAAGTACCTTTCAGGTACGATTACAAGAAAGTCTATTTAGACCTGCTACACGAAGAAATCGGTCGATCTATTTAAAAGATACCACAAGACTAGTTACAAAAAAAAAACACAATATTACTCAGCTCCACGTCGAAGCTAAAAAAGGCTTGATTAATATGCTATATGATAATATATAATACTGTATTAATGTCTAAGTTAGGGTTTTTTAGAAAACCTATATGATCTACTTGCCAAACTAGTCAAAGTATGTTAATACTAACAGAGTACTTAATACAATTATTAATTATGATTTGTTTTACACGAGTGTAAATCAAGTAGTGGAATTGCGAATTGAGGATTTAATATTTACTTTTTTTTTAATAGCACCTCAAAAAATGACTTTAAAATAATGAATCATGCAAAATTTTCTCACTGAAAAAGTTGGGGAGTTAAAAAATAATGGCAACTCTGTTCAACCGACCATTGATAAAACGAGCGCGAGGGAATTAGCGTTATAATGTCGTATGATAATAATATTAGCAGTTAAGGAAAATACACCTCGCTCGAACCCTTGGGGCAAGTGTCCGGCACTTTGCTGATGATTGATACTAATTCGCGGAGTTGGCCTTTTGGAGAAGTTGTTTGCGTTAATCGCCGCCGGTCGACTCCGAGGGCATTTGTCTAATAACCCGTCTGAGAGTGCTGCACGGCGGATAATTGGCTCGATTAAAGCCGATCTCTTGACCAAAAGGCCGTGAATTTTGATTTCTGAACCCCCTCCGCCCAAAATATATATGATCAGTCAACGTCACCGTGTCTGCGGTCAAGCGAGTCACAGGTGCAAAGTCTAAAGGCTAAGGGCGATTGTTGTTTGCTACACACGACAAATAATTCAGTCACCCATCAATATTGCCCCCCCCCTCCCAATAAGTTTTTTTCAAAATTTAAGTAAAATACCAAATTCGTTAAAGACAATATTAGTTTGAAGTAATCAAGCATTAATTAAAAGACGGCATGTTGTTATGCACTAGTTTCACAGAATTATAATAATTATACAGACTAGTTTACAGTAAGGAAAACAAAAATATTAAGATTTTTAGTAATATCTAGTCAGAATGAATAGTACTTTTTACATAAAGAATATGAGTAATTGTTCTAATTGAACACCCTTGATTTTAAATTATTTTTCTTGTAATTAATTTCTCGATTCAAAATCATTCCTACTTTATATTGTTATTAAGTAGTTTCACTATTAAAACATGTACAAACACTAAATTTTCCCCAAAACCTAAAATTATCGATTTAGATAATACGTTTTTCAATTTAATTGTGCATAGCAATTAAAAATGAACTTAAACATTTTAATAACAAAAATACGGATACTGCAAAAAATAGAAATATTTTTCGTGAAAAATAAAATTCTGCGCATTTTGTTGTTAGTGCGGGTGTTGAGATATGAGGGTTGAACTAGAAAAATCGCAACTCCAGGCGACAGGATACACTTCCCTCCCTCTCCCCCACCCACGAGTACGGGCCAAGCGTCGTGATGAAAAGTAGGATGAAAAATTAAACGACGTGGAATGGGGGGGGGGAGGGGTGAAAACCGTATGAATATAAATTTTCAACAATGTCGTTTTGTTATTTTCAAAGAATAGAAAAAAAACTTTTGTTGTGAAGTTTTGTGAGAAGAGAAAACACACAAAAAAAAAAGATAGGGTTACAGCAGTTATCCAGTGTCCGGCCAATTTAGTCCGGAGGAACCGCGGGGGTGATGGTAGTTGTGTACTCGGGCGGGGGGTGCAAGTTCACACTCTAACAAACAGTTACAGTTTCACGGGGGGCAGTTAATCACGTCCGCCCGGTGTCCGATACACTCTCCGGCTTATATACACACACACGCGCTATACAATGCCTTGTGTAAAACCTTTGAATTATGATTAAAGATATACGAGAGGAGATTTCGAGCGGCCAAGGGAAAGGGTGACTTCTTCGCAGTAAAAACCTATTCGGCGGCCTTAGGAGGGTTTCGCTGTCGGGGCCAGCACTTACGGTCATTTAACCCTCTCGCCTACAAACTTCACATCTGAATGTTTTAGATTAATAATAGAACGGTAAACTGTTTTTTGTCGCCCCGGCTCGGTCCGGCGGCGGCCCGACGTCATTAATATTTCCTCTCCGTTGCCCTATATATACACACACACACACACACACCACCACCAAAAGGTCCGAATAACAGTTGCGATAACGAATTTGACACGCTTAAGTACATGCCTACAGTGTGTGTGCATGACCAAATCCGTATCCCTCAAAACGGATTTGTCTCCCGGTTAGGTATAGCCCCCGACACTGTTGATAACGCGCAATTATACTAATTAAGACACGACGCCTTTTTGGCCGAGCAGCAATTACGACCGAAATCTTTGCTAGCCTTCCGGAAACAACAACAAGGCTAATATCCGTTTCCACCGGAAGTCAGCCACTTCCCAAAAAGACTAATAAATTTCCACCACAAAACCGTACAACTGCTAGTCTTCGATAAACGAGTAAACGTTTGGTATATATTTGAGAGATTTTTTCGAGTTAAAAATAATAACTGTGTATCAAACTTCTTTTTTTCGGAATTTGTCAAGAGGACGTTATACCGGAAGATTCATTTAACGTAAGATGCTCATTTATCAGAAAATTATTACAATTTTAAAGTTTTTCCTTTAGCTTCGATGCGGAGCTGAGAGGCTATTGATTTTTATATTTTTCAGAGCACTATCAATATTTGAAACTCATATGGGAGCGTAAAAACTTAATTATTTTTTTAATATAATAATAAATTGCTAAATATTTTGACTGATATTTTTAACCTCAGTGTCAAAAAGTCTAATATTTTAATTGTTGTTAATTAATGTGTTTCATTTATTTTAGGGGGTAATTAAGTTACTTATAGTTAGTGTAAACTTCCAGTTGTATGACTTATGTCGTTCTTGTAATGACCGATGTGAACGTTTCCCCTAAATGTCACTGTCCTTTGATTTCATTATAGTTGTTTTTGCTCTAAAACTATGGAACGAGTGAAATGTACTCTATGTTTCGATAAAAAAAAGGTTAAATCGCTGTCAAGAATGCTACAATAGTCAGATAAAAGAACTGAACTAAACATCATTACAAATATGTCAAATAATTTTAGGGTGAATTAATGTTATATATTTCTAGTTACAAACAGCTTGTTAAGTTATTTTTCTCCAAATTATGGCGAATATTTAATTAGAAATTACTACTGTAGAATCAATCTTTATTGGGCCAATTTCAATTTTTTTATGGGGGCTATAAGGTAGTTTTTTAATTTAAATATTAGGAAACCATTTCAAATCGATTAGGAATAGTAAAAAAATGAACAATTATAACACAATTTTAAAAACAGTTGTAGTGACATCGCGTTTAAATCTTTATTTGGCTCTTCCCTTAAGTAAAGCATGTAAACACACATCTTTATTGTTATTCTATTTATTATAGTAAGAATTTTAGTATTATTTGAGTAAATTTAGTCATTAGTTTATTTTTTTAGACATTTTGCCGTTGGTCATTTTAAAACGAAAAAAAAAAATGTAATCGCTGTAATATTATGTCCAACTTTGACCGACAGCTATCTGTCTGTGTCTGTCACTGAGAAACACAATAGATACGAGACTTGTTTGACAAGAGGCGCTTCTATATCATTTTTGCGTTGTTCAAAGACGGAAAACGATAACGACGACCGGGTTGTTGTTAATAGGTACGTTTATACCCGTGGACGGCAATCTTGTTGGCTACATGGTTTATGCGTTGTCGGGGGGAAATACCAATTTTAATGGCGGAGCGAGGACAAGTAGGTTCGAAAATCAACACAAAAGAAACATTACAACAGGCGGACGTTAAACTTAAACGGGTTATAACCAAAGGAATCGGCCCCGAGGCGTGTTGACCGCAGTTTTTTAATGACTCAATAGCCTGGTGGCGACGGCGATAAGATAATTTTTGCCCATAATCATCGCTGGCCACGGAGGACTAGGGCGCATAATAATAATGATCTACTCTATGATCAACAATTATTAGTATATAATATAATACCGAGAGACCGTGTGTTAAATAATATCGGCTAAACCCCATTTGTAAATCGTAAAACGAACAACACAATCGGAGAGGTGGAGCATTGTGGTCATACAATAATTTTAAATCTCAATTATCGTACATTTTATTTTATAGCGTCCACGATACACGACCAGCAAAGAAAAAACTTTTATAAACCTAACTTTTACTTCACAAAACATTAATACAAAGCGTACTAGGGTGGCTTTATTTTGGAATTTTTTGGTAAAATTTTAACGGAGATGCTCTCTAAATTGGTTCAAATGGGTAAAAACAAAAAGGTCCCAAGTTTCAGATCTTAATATCGATATTAACATGGATCTCGCGACACTTGTCTAATAAAAATTAGTTTTCAATAAAATTATGATTTTAACAAAGTAGAATTTTTTCACAATATTTCATGCAAAATCCTTTTACAACATTTTACTCAAAATTTAAAAAATAAATACTTTTTTAAAAAAAATTCCAAAATATTGTCGAAAAATTAAAGTTTTCAAAATGTTGCGAATCAGATGTGTTCAGGTGTTCATTTTTAGGCTGAATTTTAAGATCAAAAACAATATCTATTCACATGAAGTTATATTGTCTCGGTTTAGTTGCTTCAACTGAACAGTACAGTAACATATCATAGTACAGTATCAGAAGAAATGTCATTGCAAAAATTAACATCTGCATATTTTAACTGTGAATGTTGAAAACAATTTCAAAATGTTTTAAAAACAATTGTTATCGATAAATGTCGTTTTCTTAATTATTCAAATATTATTTTGATTAGACACAAAATAAATCTTAGACAGCTTACTTATTATTATTTATTGTAAAAATTTACATAAGTCTCGGCTGACATTTAAAAATTCATGCTTTACTGCTTTATGCGTGAACATCTTTAGATTTTACGGTTTTAAAAAAGTGTTAGTAATCTTGTTTTAGTTGTTTTCGGTTTATGCTCAATAGAAAAGGCCTTGGAGGGGCATAGCGGGGACAGAGCATGCGATATTGTAATATTATTCCACCCAAAACAACGTTGTCTAGCTTACCTTCATTTTGAGATCAAGTAACGTTTCGTTCGAAGATACTACTATCAGTTCGCCCCTAGGTCTTCTATTTCTCGCACTCCTCCTTATGCCGTATTCGAGGGAGGCGCTGTTGCTGACGTCAGTGGGCACGGCTACGGGTACGCTGTTACCGTTTACCGACGGTTCTAGTTTCATTTTCTTCGAGCAATTGCCCCACAATTCATCCTGTAATCAAAACAAAATTACATTTTAAGACGGACCAGAATTTCGAAAGTACACAACAGTCTCGAGTGACACATTATTATTATTATTGTAATGGCAAGATGGTATCACGACGCGTTTCCTTTTAAAACGCAACTTCAGCTACTATACTATATTACCGACTTGACGTGTCGCTAATTATTACTATTATTATTATTGTTATTATACAAGGGTTGACTTATATGCAGGCATAGACCCTTTCTTCGATTAGTCACCACCCGTCGAGAGCTTTATTAACACACACAACATTCGAAATTTATTATGCGTGCACAACACAATGTCTCCTCCTATATAGTCATACGACATGCTATAGAAAGTAAGAAGAGATAGCTACAATATCACACAAGACACTGTACTTGGCAACGAAGTATTCGTAAGGGCGACAGTGTAACCTTTCAAAGAACACTTTTACCTAACACATATTATTGTATTTTATAGCCATGTTTTATTATCAGTGGACGTAATCATATCGATAAATAACACGCCTTCTTTAATTTACATCACATCATCCTAACCGAAATTTGGCAAAATATGAATTAGTTCTATGGTCTACAGTGACGACCTAGACAAATCTAGAAATACTTGTTTGATTTGTCCACTATTATATAATAAGATTTGGTTGTTGGAGAAGGAAGGAACATTTGTATATTACATGTTGCTATATGCAAACACTATGTTGAGTACTGGAATCACGACCGACTGACCAAACCCCAAACCAACACTTATTGATTATAAATCAAACGGGGCGATAACAGGCACTTGTTTTCAGAGGCGTTTCGGTCGTATTGTGGACGGTGTGCGTTGTTTATTTTTTAAACAACCTTAGAGCATGATTTATTTACACAGATTAAGTATCGGTGTTTTAGCGTGTGGATCCAGAGGCGTGTTCATACGCCTCTTGTTTTATTTTATACTTCAAAGTGATATAATTATTACCTAACCTTTAATGGCGAGAAATACATTCCGATCGACATTCGATACTTAAGACAAAACCGGGTTTGATATTTCTGATGCTCTCTACAAACATTAGTTACAATAAAACACTGAATTGAAAATTTGGGTAAGACGTTTCTAGCTAGCAACACTTGAAATAATAATAGACAAATAAAACAATCATTATTGCAGACAGATTCAGCAATTTCGTAGATTTTCACATAATTGTTTAACAACATACAAAATGTTTAATTTTATTTATTAGAATTGAATATAGTCTGTAACCACAAGACGGAATTCTTCAAATTAGAAGTTTACACAATGGTACAATGGTATTTTATAAAGCCAAATTTTAAGGCCTTTACCGTCAAAATTATCAATTACTGAAGACCCCTCACACTGTGTAAGCTTTCTATTTTGTTTTGAACTAAAGCTTCAGCACAGACAATAAATATTGTATTATATTCCACTGACAACTCACAATAATAAAACAACTTTAGCCAACGTTTTAGAAATAATTGCACCGCAAATAATAATTATTTTGTTATTTTAATAAATAATAGCTCTGAAATAATACAACTACTAAAATACATATGTAAATGTAAAATAATTAATAAACAACGCATAGGGAAGTAGTATGCCGTTCTTGAGGTAGGTGTATATATTATATTTCTACACAATATAGTAACAAGATAATTGCTATATTTATTGCTAGTATTTTTTTTTTAAATGATTTATTGGAGGAATCCTAATGATATTTATGACGCATCGGAAAATGGTGTTTAAAAAAAAGAACGTACAAATTAAACAGTTCGTGGCGTCGAAGAAGTATTATCTGGAAGAAGAAATGACAATCATTAAAACATACTAGAATTCAGTAAGTATATATGAATACATAAATCATATCATGCCCGAGATACTATAAAACATATAATTAACGGTTTATAATTATTACTCAAGATGATTGACTTTTAAAATTGGTATTGACGTACTACCATACTTTAAAAAAATACTACAAATGTATTGGGCGTAAAAAGAGAACCGGTTTCATAATAATTAAGCAAGAGACACATACTAAAAGTTTAACACGTCCACCGAGGAAAAACTATATAGAAATTATTAATAATTCCCCAAAAAGAGCGAGAATTAGTGTATAGGAGGTGTTATTATGTACAGTTTATTCCATAACGAGTCTATGATTTCTAATTTCTATACACAATTACGTGGTTCAAAGGACCAGGGAGCAAATTACCCATTTTTTTTAATTTGTAAAAAAATATTTCATATTGCCTTTAATGATTTTTATATCACTGAATTTAAAAATAGTATTAATTTCTAAATTAACTTCCAACATTGAGAGCTAGCAAGATATAAAGAGCGGTTAGGGAGATGATTGGGAGATGATTATGTAATTTTGAAACGATGAGCTCAAATTCGATATCAATTTTAAAATTAAGCACATAAAACACAAATTTTAGTTTAAGTCAAGTTTTAATGAGAAATTGCCTATACAATGTTCCTTAATAAACACTAGTGTAGAAATCCTTAGAAAAAAAATGTAAATGTTTTCTTTTTTCAGGAGAAAAGTATGATTTATGAGTATGTTATACGGCACCCACCCACTCTTGAAAATCTCTTATCATTCTTCAGCTCCTATCATCCCCGCTTATCACACTTCTTTATCTCTTATTATAGGTCAACAAACTGTCATATTTTGATCTTACTTAAAAAGTGTTGCGCACATTTTGAACCGATCCGCAGCCTTAAAACATACTTCATGTTAAAATAAAAAAACCAATTGTATTAAGACCCCGAGCTTAGCAAACGGTGCCGCCGGTGGTGTACAAGTGTCATCCCCTTCGTAATGGCATAAACGAGGGTGTACCGCAGCGGGTTTAGGGTTGAAAATCGTTTAGGGTTTTCTCGGTGACCGGAGAAACATAACACTGTGCGACGAGCACCTGCAACTGTTTGGACGTCAGTCAAACAGTCATACACGTTATGGCTGCTGTCTTTTCGGCGTAAGCCAACGTGTGGTGTGTGTCAAGAGGACGAAGAGAAAATCGTCCGAGCAAGTAGGAAATACACACATAAACGGAGAGGAAACAAGAGGGAGGGAGGGTAATAATGAATAAAAAAAATTAATAAATAAAGGGGACAGCAACCGATTTCACAGCAGCGGCGTGCGAGGTCGTAAACCACACGGTAATTATTTTGACAGTCCAGACGCAGAACGCTAACCATATTATATACAACGGCGGCCCCGAGGATGTGTTTTTTTTCCCTTCTCCTTTTCCTCCGACGTATGATATTATTACGTCCGACTTTATTGTGGTCGTCGTCGTCGCCGGTTGATTTGTTTCCAAAGGGTTCTTCTGAGAGCAGGTAATTATAATGCACACACGGTGGTTATAAGGTCTTGGCTATATGTGTGTGTGTGTGTGCTTAAGAGTAGGCGAGTTTACGATTTGGCGCATGATTACACAGCATCGAGCAACGTTTTACAAACGGTTCACGATGGCTTTATTACCGAGGCCATATTATATGTATATGGTGTTTTTCTATCTTTCTCTGCTTGTTCCTTCTCGCTCTCATCTCTCGAGAAAGAGGAAATTATCGGGTTTTACGATCGCCTTCGCCGCTTTCAGTCCGGCCGGGCAAGAAGGGTTGTGGTGGCTGTCGGTGCTCGAAATCGAATAAAACAACACTATCGTTAGCTTACGCATTTTTATATTGTTTTATGATTACCGAGTGAATACACAATTGCATTATTATATAGGCGAGGGTTGGGCAAAGGGGCATGGTGGTAGAGAGAGGCCTAACACCATTCATTTATTCGTGCGACCGGGTGGGTTCGAGAAACGTCGAATACACACACATACTTAGCTCGCCAATTCACAGAATGTCTCGAAAATTCACGTTACAAACAATAGTAATTTGAATTACATTTTTTATTGTGCCAACGCGCGGACCTGAGAAGCTATTGTTAACCTTTTATAGGCTAGGAGTCAACCCAGAAACTTCTTGCGATTTTTGAGAGACTGCATTAACTAAGATGATTTCTTTAACAAGGCCTAAAACCGGCATAATACATCTAAACGACTTACTTCACTTCAAAATCTCACGATTTTTTTTTTAATAGTCCAATTCGAAATTTTGAGAGATATTATTTAGATAGTGTACTGTCGTTAAACGTTGACGAGTCAAAAAAATATCATAAATCTTTTCTTCCAGAAGCCTTTTTCTTTATTTTTATTTTCGAGCGTAGCTTTGACACTTATGGCTTAAAAATTAAACTGATTTATTGAGACATAGAGTGCTAAGACAAACAATTTTCTCAAAAATATGTAGTAATACTTTTTTTTATAATGCAAAAAAATCCCTAAAAATGGAAGAAAATCACACTTTTACACTGTAATTAATAATTAGGTTGCCTACAGGTATCAGAAAAATATTTCAAATATATCATTGATTCAACGACAGAGAAGCAATAAATTTGTATTATAGACAGACAATCAACCCTAATTAGCCCCCCTCTCCCCAAATACTGTATATACAATATTAAACATGCTATTGCATTAACAATAATTTTTATAGATACATCATCATAACGTCTATTTGAAAATGATTTAATTACTCAGTTTTTTAAATTTATATTTGAACGTGATGAGCCGCCACACAAAATGTGTAACAAAGAACATTTTTTAATTGTTATAATTGTGTGAAAAACACATAATTGTGAAACCAATACCTTTTAAAATTTTGCATCTAAACCCAAAGTCTGGACTTCAAAAGATTGGTCAAATTAAATGGTTTTATGGACGTTGATTTGAAATTTAGAATCTAAAAGAAAGTGTGATACCATACGATGCCCCCAAAATAAAAATACTAATTAAAATTTTTTTAACAATTAAAGAGCTGCGGCGAAAAACAATCGTAATCAAGTCAATCCTTCCCAATTTTCAGTGTTGCAATTTTAAATATGTATGCAGTTTCAGACTCGTAGATAAGATATAAGGCAACTCCACAAAATATATGATATATTATTATTATTTAGCCATTTATTACAAAGTTAAAAATTAACAAAAAAAATTACTTATTTAAAATTGAAATTTGAAAAATTGACTATGATCGTTTTTTTTTACAGCCCTTTAATTTATTTCCAATCTAGCTGAAGCAAATTAGTTTTGTAATGTGTTAACGCGGTTTACCTTGTCGTCGATGCCGTTATACTTGCAACCGTCTTCGCGTTCTTCTTTTTCGACGACTTTAATGAAAACTTTCGCTTTGTTGTATTTCAATTGTTCCCGTTTTTCCTCGTCCAGTTTTTTCTTACGACAGGGTTCACATATTTCTATAACAGTGCAAAAAAAAAAAAAAAAATTAAGGGTAATTTTTAATTTAACGACAAGGTAACGAGTGCCTTGAAGAATACGATGACTTTTTTTCACACACCCTCGACGTCGATCAACAAAAAAAGATAACAAATTGATAAAAAATAACAATAACTTTACACACGTATAATTTTTACCGTGTTAATGTTTAAAAACGCGTCATTAGTATTTTTTTTCCTTCCAAATTATCTTTGGACCTTGTCGCACACCGCCGCCAAGATGAGCTATCCCTTTTTCGAAAGGGGGATAAAACAGCGACAAATGCCTTGTCATTTATTAAACCACGTCGGGCCCTCGTTTTAACCTGCTCGGAGGCCAGAGAAAAAAAGAAGGGTCTACTCGGGTGAAAAAAAAAGATACTTAACGACCTTTACGGGTACGAGCACAGAGGGCGGAAGAGGTTTTCTCGGATTTTTCAACCGGTCGTTAAACGTATTGAGCAACTATTAAATCGATGGTCTTTTTATGTGAGACCGAAAAAAAAACACAAGTCGAGAAATCAAAATTGATTTTTCTGCGCTACTTTTGTGTAAACGTCGCACAGTGGTCCAAAATGAATGTTTAAGCGTCAAAAATAATTTTGAAAAAAAAAGTTGTCAATAAATAATATGCAGCTGATAAACCGGTTTATAACTTACTGATTTAAAATATTATAACCTTTAGTGTACTTACATAGAAGCAATCGATACAGATGAACTTTTAATCTATTGTAAGTGGTTATAGTACAAGTTGTCAGCTTTTTAACCCCTTATATAATTTATCTACCTTCAGCCGCCTTTAGAGTTGCCAGCAATTTAATATCACATTAGAAAGTAGTTTATAACCTATCGCCCTGGTACTATGAAAATAAAATGTTAGGTATGAAAAGTTTTAAAAAGTATATCAAATTTATTAAATCAGCTTCCCCAAAACTAAACCACCCCCCCCCCCTGTATAAACCCACTAACTGCTTTTTAACGCTTCCCAACTCTGAATGTTAGGGGTTCATTTAAAAATTAATATTTTATTTGAAAACAGTGGTTCTAAAAACATTTAAGTCTATTTCCAAAATATATTTTTGTCCAATTGAAAAAACACTCCCCTCAACTAATAAATAAGGAGTGAATTTAAAATAAATAAATAAAAATGCAACCGTTTACATTTTCTGTACCTTTCTATTTTCGAAGCGAAGTTTTCTTCGCTTTAATCTTGGATACTTTTTTTTTTATTTACCTATCCAATCCAAATTTAACCTAAAGTGAATCTAAATCTAACCTAGCCTTACCTATTTAATTAAAACCCAACCTAACCAACGGTGTCGCTGAGTAATTACAGATAGACCTCCGTCTTAAAACATATTCATTTAACAATTTAGCGACCAAAAAAAAAAAAATAACATAATTTTACCTATCCCACCAAACATTTATTTTAAACTACTGACCACTGGGCGCCGCTTTGCTGGGAAAATTTCATCATTAGGTCTATCTACAAATTTACACGGGAAAAAAACCAATACCTTCTCAGCCCCCCGGTGAAGTTAAAACAATACTTATCTCTAAACGAGGCGAATCATTTTCGGGTTATCTGCTATTCCGCTGACCAGTAACAAAACACGCTTCATTTAACTATTTTGTGCGAGGGGAGACAAAATTGACCCTTTACCGTTGTTATCACTATCGGTAGAAAGCGCAATTGTATTAGATACAAACCCACATTTACTCCTCAACTAATCCGATATCGTGCAAATATTCATACAATATATTATTCCACATAATATGCGTGACAATAAAAGGGTTTAAAATATTATTAAAAATCGAATAGTACTCTTAAACAATTTATACAATCTAAAGTCCAAATAGATTGACGCAAGGTGGATGAAACTAAAAACACAATACTGTCAAAGACTGAAAAATCCTATAGCAAAATACCCGAAATCTTAAATGTTATTTGAATTTTAAAACCTGTATTAATTAGGGGAATAATAATGAAAGGGAGGGAAATGGGATCAATATGTTATCTGGGAAAATTAATGCCAGAATTTTAATAGATTTCTAAAAATTGTAGTGTACCTATGAAATCCGCTATTTTCATGTTTAGGTCTGATGGGAACATACGTATTCATGTTTTCATCTTGATGAAATAACCACTAAAATAACCTGTGAATTCCCGAAAGTGTTCTTAGCTAGCTTTAATTAACGTGGGCACTGATTCAACGTTTTCAATCATGATCATGCATCAGCTGTATAAAATACATGTGAGAAAATATATCAAAAATTACAACTTTTTTTCGTCGATGAATCGGATGCCCGAAATGGGACAATGGTCCGGTATGGTAAATAAATTAAATTCTGATTGGTAGAGCACCGGGAAGCGATAATAATTTAATTCTGAGATTCGGTGCCGCCAAACGTTACACGTATTATGATATATTACAATGTGTGCGGCAGTGTTGTAATGAGAGTAGAACCATTGTGAATACCGTATACGAATGTGATTAAACGATGCCGCGACAAGGCGATATGCCCGCCATAGGGAGGCGCAAAGGGTAAAATGACCCCGTCCGATTAATATACAATCCCCTGTCTGTGCTTGGAGAACCGTGTGACTTCTTCTTGCGTTCCATATCTTTAATTGGATTCGCCGCAAACATGATCAATGCCGTTCTGGCCACAGATAACAGGGTCCGGCCGGATCCCCTCGGTGCAAACACCGCGACAAGGTGACCTTTTAATGATTTACAAGCATTCCCATCACGTCTCTGGCGAGTCCCTTAAATGAATTAGTTTCTTGCCGCCGCTAACTCTGCTGCTCCTATGGCGCGGGTATAAATAATATTATGTGTGTGTGTGTGTGTGTGTGTATGTTGTTGCCCCGGTATAATATTATATAGACGATGTGGGACAAGAGATGACCTCTTTCGCCGACGATTCTCAATTGAAATTCGCAGGACAAGCAGAAGCTGCGGGTGGCGCTTGCGAGATATCAATTTCGGGCAAGCAAAAACAGCGGTGCACGCGCGCGCCCGAAGGGAGTGTGGCGCGCGGCTGTGGTGGTAAGAAAAAAACAAGGAAGCTCGGACTAAAGTTTTGGGTTCTCCTGGGACTGTTCCAAATGAAAATACATAACAATATCTCACGCTCGTTGGCCGTTTTGTCTCGTTTACCCTTTCTCGACCTCTTCCACACCCCCACTCACTCACTTTGACCTCGGTGAAAATCTTAATAAATTAGACCAATTTGCTAATGGCCACACAGTAACGGTCGAAAGTAATAGATAAAAAAAAAATACAAGTGTGTTTGTAAAATATACATAAGGCAGATTTGGGAAACCGAGACCCAGTTTAAAATTTACTACTCTAACCTATTTTTGTATTTATTTAATACTAATACATAATATTTTTTTTAAACCCAATTATTTTTTTAAATAAATATTTAAATGATATTGGCTCAATAAAGTCAAGTTTAGTTTTATTACTATTATTCAACTTCTTCATTTGTTCACTTAATATATTTCCACTGTTTTTCGGTTTCTCAATTATTTATTTTACACAGCGATAGGTACCACCCACCCATCTTCGACATTTTTTAGTCGGCTATTATTTTACAATAATCCGTTTTGTACATGTTTTATTTTTTATATATATAAAAACAGCGTTTCTCAATGAGAAATGGCAACTTGTGCGATTTACGACGACGAGTAGGCCGTCTCCCCATAGAACCTCTAGTGTATCATTATTGGCCACGTTAAACGGACGGAAAGACAATAAAAACGATTTTACAACTTCAATTCGTTACTCGAAGAAACCAAACATTATAAGATTAAGTCGTTAAAGTTCGCACAAGACCTACCAACAAGTGTCTAGCGTTTAAATAAAACCGAACATACCAAATATAATAAAAGTATATTATATTGTACCGCAATAAAACAAATTTGATCTCAACAATAATAATAACAATAAAAATAATATTAATACGACAACGAAGACAACATTTTCCTATGTCTTTTACTTATAATAAACGTTCAACGAGTTGTTGTATTCCCTTTGGTGTGTTTTTAATACTACCGAATGTATAATATATTGTTGTATACTCGATATAAGAACAAAGAAGAGTTTTAATAAACTTTCCAATTAAAAATGAAAAAAAAAATACATTTTCTTACCTGGTTTCGACGTTTTAAACTCTCCGTACTCGCCAAAATATAAAAACACTCCATAATCGGTCTGATAACAGCGTGAAATGATTTCCCATTCGTCTTTGGTCAACAGCGCTAATCTGGAACCAGATAAAAGCATTACAAACCTCATCAGGTTGAGATCAAAGTCTTATCCAATGAAGAAACAAACGCGGTAGCTTTCCATAAAATTAAGTATCCAAGCGTTTCTTGAAAATGATTTTACTACAATTATTCCAATATTATAATGACAGAGTAATATCAAATGGTAGGTAAAGTATATAATTACATGTTTAGGATTTTTTTATCGATAAACTTTGGCTAACGGTTTTTCGATCTATGGACTTTAATGCACATTAAATTGACTTTAGTGCACACACAAGTACCTTCTTATTATTGCTTTGGAGTTTAAAACAATATTGTCTTATTAAAAATAAACTCACCACAGTGAGGCGACTGTGTACAATTCAAGTTTGTATACAATTATTATGACTAACTAAAGATGAAAGCACTAAACTTTCAGTAAAAAATGTTATAATTTATTTTTTCAGTGTATAAGAAGTTAAGTAACCGTTATAAGTACTCGATACCGCTAGTAAAAAAATACCACAGCCCTTTAACCCCTTAAAGGGTTGGCATATTTTTTTCAATTTAACTAGCGTGATTTTAGGATTTAAGGTCTGAAAATAAGACTGAAGGTAGATCTAGAGTGAGGCCCGTCCGACCCCACAACGGCTGTCCTGGTTTTTTGTTTGGTTTTTGAGACCTACACCAGTAGTTTTGTACCTACTTCTCATAAGTCGTTGAAAAATAAATCAAATCTGAGGGTGTTTTTTTACTGGATTTTAAGGAAAAGGCGTGCATTTAATTTTTAGGTTTTCAAAGTACCTCCTGGGCACGACTCGGGCCACGTCGATCAAGACAAGTCCGGCGGTACCAGAGGTTGCCGTCTTGGGCGAAACACCGGTGGTGTGCACTGTGGTTGAAGCAGACCAAAGAGGACTCCTCTCCGGTGGGCGTGCAACGATAATACTTAATTAATTGGATAATTTGTTAAATACTGACGGCAGCTGACAAAAACATCTCCTATGGGCACGCGGTCGATTTGCATAGTAGCTGTGCACAAACGAGAGGCACATGGTCTATTTGCATAATCACCGCATAGACCCGCCGCCGCTGCCTGCAGCCGGCCAATAAGAGACCATCATTTCTCAGCTAAAATGTATAATATAAACGCATACCCCTTCCGAGACGTATAATAATAATAATAATAATACCGCTCTAACCCGCCCAGCTATTAAAAACCATTTTGAACAGACCGCGAAAATATTATAATGTGGCGGCGCTGGGACACGGTGGCGACTTGACCCACGGCAAGCCAAAAGTAGACCGTTAAAAGTAACACCCTCCTTGGGGGAGGGGGGAGGGCAGGAGTCGAAAAACGTGTGGGAAGCAATCACGGTTGTGCAGGGTGAAACTTTGGAATTAATTAAAAACCAACACGGTCGGTCTGTCGGGAAAACCGCCATAAAAACCTGTGGAATCTTATACTCAGGCGATGTAAAATTAAACGACAAGTACAAACGACAGATTGACTTACCCTACCCTCCCCCGTGGTTCACCCCCTACCCCACCAATCGAGAAACCGCTTTGAAAGTTTCGAAGCCGTTTTCCACTTGAAATAATTGCAAAACGTATTAAGAGCGCATCACGCTCTAGGCCAAACGAGATGAGTCGCAAAAATCACAAACCAAACGGGGGGGTGGGGAGGGGTTCAAGGATTGATTGTAAATAGTTTTGGTCTTCCAAAAAACGTGTAAACGGTAGTTGGAAAAGGAGAGGTGTGAAGTCGAAATGTGGTCCAAAGAATAGTAGTTAATAAATATATTATTGTTATAAAATAATAAAAATATTTTTCTGATACCTGTTTATTGTTAATTCATTCACAAAATATGATCCAAGTGTCATTTTCCCTTCTTTTTTACTTTTTTCTCAATATAAAATTAGTTTGACTACAGATTTTTAAGAAACTTGTAAACGTCTAGTCCTATTTTAGATGTGGTTTCAGTCTACTATTCAGACCTTAAGTCCCAAAAGAACGATCAAAGAAAGATCAATATATAACTTGAAGTATAATATAAAACTGTAAGTGTAGTTCTGTATCGGTGTTGTGCGAAATACATATAGGTACCGTTGGTATTATAAAAACCTAAAAAACAGCAACACAAATTATTTTTGTGTTGTGGTACTGCAACAGAGCAGAAATCTTAGAACATATACATTTTTTAATCTCTTTTAAACAGCTTTCAGTTTAAGTACCACTGTAACTCTACAGTGGTCATGGATGAGGTCACCTCAATTTACTGGAAACCAAATATTACGATAATACATATTAGGTACGTTCAGTTTTCTTTTTCAGGAATACATCTATTTATAACCTCTAGTTTTACTTCCATAGTCCACACCCATCGTAATTAATTTCAAAAATTATTTTCTGACAGTAATGTGTACTAATATGGGATTGGAAAACAAGAGCGGTGGATAGGGAAGGCTGGAAGATTGGATGTGTTATGGGATGGTCTTGATGGCCGGAAAACCCAAGAAGAAGAAAGAATGTGTACTAATATGTACAAATCTCGTTGGCAAGTTAATAAAATAGTATACGCTGTAAATCTAATAATTTGGATTGGGTACATAAGAAACCCTTTTTGAACACACTGTAAAAAAATTAGTGAAGTTTAAAATATATTATCGTTTTTCGGATAAATTAATTATTTTGAAGGGCGTGACAAAAATAAATAATTTATATTTTTTCTAAAGTTTTCGACTCCGCATATTATTTTTCCTCAAATGTTTATGTGCGTTTGCCAAGAATCCTTTCCAAATAACTTACACGCATAAATAATAAATAACCATACATTTTTATTGAAAAAATTAGCAAAACAAATAAGCCAAGAGAAATCGATTATACTTGAAAGATTTATATTTTACTAGAACTCTGTTTTTATGGCAATATGTAAATGCCAATTTTAACGTTAACAGCATGTACTAGTGTAACGTGTAAACTGCAGCAAAGAGAACCCAACTAAATTTACTGTAATTGCAATATTGTAACTATTGTAACTATTACTAAAGTACACTAATAGATTGTAACCAGCAGTTATTCAACTTACGGATTTTGATCAGAGGGAAACACTGCCGAACCAGGTTCAAAAAGTAGTCCATTATGTTCACTACACAGCAGCGATTCGTTTACAATTGAATCCGGCCTCGGTTCTTTTGATGGGTTTCTAAAAAAAAACAAATATATAGTTTATTATTAATTAGTTCAGATATTGTAATAAAATAGTATTCATTCATTTAGTTACTAACCAATGTTACACATAAAACCTCACATAACACTTATTTTACTACTAGAACTTCACAGTTGAAAATTGAAGGGCTTAGAGCAACAAAAAGGTGTCCACTTTTATTCAGAAAAAAAAAATGTTTATGGGAAAATTATCTACCTTTAGGAGCAATAAACAATAAAATCCGACTATTACTTACAAAGATAACAAAAAAAAAACTATTTTTTCCACCTATTGCAGTAAATAGGATGAATAATATTCTTTTGATCTTTCTGAATAATAACAGATTACCGATTCCTGGTAATAAGGAATATTTAAGGGGAACGGAAAGGGCCAAATTTTATACAAAAAAAAATAAAGACTAAAACGCTAAGTATAACTTTCTGAAGTGTTTACTGAACAGACTTTAAAAATTTGTTTTGTTATAAAGTCACAAATCTTCACTATGGTGCTAACAGACCAATTTTTTTATTTTCGTTTTCAAAATTTTATATTATTACTTTTTTTTATAGTTTTTTCTAACTAATTTTCCAAATAGCTAAATAAAAAATCATCCTTTTAACTCCCACAGGGAAGTTAGTAAGCTTCATATAAACGTTTGCCATAACTCGGAGGAAAATAATTTTAAAAGTTGTTTACTTGGAAAGACTTGACGTTTGTTCACCTTAAAGTCAGTCGACATATTAAAACTGGATAAATTGTTTTCATATATTGCCTATCCTTTGCCCCTTAATAAATAACGCAGCTTGATCGTTTTTTATCCAGTGCACTATAATGCACTTTATTGCATATCGTATAAAACAAACCCATCGAACTGAGTCCTAAGTAAGAAGCAAAAGCCTGGCTACTTGTAAATAAAAGTTAAGAGTATCCACACTTCATGCAGATATATGTGTGTAAATACATGGTTATGTCCTGCAATATAGTATCTCTAATATCTATCTCTAAACCACTATCTCTATTAATTCACCTCCGTAATCCCTCCATGATCCATAATGACGTCAGCACTGTGACACAAAACGTGACTTTCAAAATGACTCCAAGCCATCAGACATCCATGTCAAAAACCAAGCCAGCTGGTTCCCAATTAAAACAAAGAAAGTGTTGCTTATTTACATCCTATTTGGCCACTTATTTAAGGCATACGATGCCGAGCTCTATAGACTTATATCGATTTTCCTGATCCGACAGGGGTGAGTGGAGGTGGGATATATATGTTTTATACCTCGGTGTAAAAATATACCGTAGGGAGGGAGAGACGTCATTAGCAACACGGCCGGCCGGCCGGCCGGTGTGTGTGTGTTAGCCTTGATGGCCTGCAATCCATCTGCGATCGTCTAAGATCGTCCTCTTTCTCCCTGCTGCTGCTGCTTGCTCTCTTCCCCGTCGCACGGCCACCGTACTATTCGCCCTCCCTGTAATTCACCGTTTTCGGACAAGTCTTTAACGCGCCACAACAACAGCAACACATGTGTACGACGGCCGGCTATCAGTCAACTTTACCGCCGCAGCCGGCCGGGGGAAGCCGAGGGGGCGGCCTAGTCAAGTGCCGGCGCGGTGCACACGCAATACCGTACGCGCGACCCTCCTGCCCACGTAGGCGCAACATTCGGCGACTGATATTCGTCCTCTTCTGCGGCAGCCGCACTGTATTAACCGCCGCCGCCTAAATGCGGTGTCAGGAAAAAAAAAATTATCCATCGAGCGGACAAAACGCGAGCCGGCCGTGCCGAAACAATGTTTTTCCAATAAAGATTCCTCCGCCGGTCGTTTACGGGGACCCGCGCCGCCATCGGCCGGCAATTGCCTGTACTTAAAGAGGACAACACACCGTGGACGGACGCCTCCACACACACACACACACACACCTCGTAATACTCCATCGAGATGAACCGATTTATCGGCGCACGTTGCTTATCCTCCGGCTGATCAATATTCATTGTCGGACACCGATTAAAGCACTGCACCCAAACCATTAGGATTTTAATGGGTCAGACCCAGCAACGGATCCCAGGAAAAACCCAACGTGCAAAAAAATTAGCAAATTTTTAACTTCACACTTTAAATAACAAATAAAATAACAACATATTCAGCCGGTTTTCAGCTTAATGTTAATTAATATTTCATTTAAATTTAATATCTGGTTAAATGAAGTAAGTAAATTCTATTTGTTAAGTTAACGAAATGTTAGTTGGGTTATACCAAGGCGGTTACCTTGATTCCAACGTTCTCATTGGTTATCACGAAATGTGATAACGGATAAGCAAAATCATTAAAAATTTAAATTTTACTATTGCTTAAATAATATAATAGATTAGAGAATATAAATAAATGTCAAAGCAACTCCTTTTATAATTTATTCCCAAAACTATATGGCATGTTTTTTACTGTGCTTGTGGAAATAATTGTACAACTATAATTAAAACTTTACGGTTTAATAACATCATCATAATGCATTGTATTGTATGATAATAATCATGTTAACACACTGTGTTGGTAGACTAATAAATAATAGACTATACTCTGTGCTAAAAACATATCAATAATTCAATGTTTTTCGGTTGTTATGAACAAAATACAAGTAGTTAACACACTTATTTGGTTTATTAAGACATTAACAATAACCGTTTAGTTTACACGCCGTTGTTTTTTTTTTACAGGTATATTAAATGCGTCTGAAATAATATAATAATATTATAAATGGAAATTCGGTTATACAAATAAAAAAAAATATATATTTTTTTCAACAATCAAATTAATATACTATGTCTGACGTGATAATATAAATGTTATAATATTATAATATTATTACAAACAATATTCAGACCAAGTGAAAATAACCTTGTGCGTTATTTAAATGATTGGTTCCAGAGCGGATTGCATGCCCACATGACCAGGGATACTATAGAATAACAACTACCATTATAGGCGTGACCTTTACTTGATTTTTTTTTTTCAATATCAAATCTCGAAGGTTGGAAGCAAGTAGCGCGTTAAATAATAAATAAGATATAAATATATATATTTTTTTTTATTCAATTGACAATACACCTTAAAGGATTATGGAATCGTTTTATGATGTAAATAACAATCTACACTAGAACCGTCGCATTTTAGACACATACAACTCAAAACTATTTCCAATTCACTCGACTAATTACATCTCTTCATTCATACAGGATAAAATAATTAACATAATATGATAATATTGATAACAATGCGGACACCGTTCAAAATAATAATACTTAAGATGAAGTTATCAACTAAAATATTTTAAACCAACTTTAACATTATCAAAAGACACTCAAAATTACTTATTTATGTCTTAAATGTTTTGTTTTAAAGTTTCATCTCCAAAAACTAATCGATTAACCCCGAAGATAAAAAAAAATGTAATTAAACTAAACTAAGGTATTGTAATAAGAGACATTTTTGAAAAAATACTAGCTATTTTGAGGTTAGGTTAAAAACAACAATGTCGAAGCATGACTACTTTTTCAGGCTTTTTTATCACTAGCTGCATGGTTTATTTTATACCTTGCAACGTGCATATATTTATATTTCAACGGAATATGTATTAAAGTAAAAAGTAAAGAAATCATAATACAATATTGAAAACCAGAATATATTAAGAGAACAGAACATTATACTAGTCTGGGCTTAATTAAGTTCTTATATCATAACCTCAATTCAATTTTTATCCATTACATGCTTACCAATTTATACTTAACTCTTAATATAATCATAAATGGTAAAGGATAATAATTCGGTTAAAAAAATTGTATGTTAGTATTAGTTAAATACTGAGAAAATACAGCGTCTCCTTAATTAATGTAAACTAGCTGGAATATTCCATATTTTTTATCTGGGACAAAATTGACTATAACCTATTTTTTTTTTTTTAGCTAAAGCTCATCCGAAGTTTACCTAAAAATGTAAAAAAAAATTTACTCGAGTTCTGGAGGACTAATAGTTAAATATAACTATACCATACTATGATGAACGATGGAAGAATTTCGCAGTTGTCTACCGTTATGGTAATATTAATAATATGAATTAAAGCGGTGCTCGAATCGATCGAATGCGCGTTTAGTTTGGGAAATTCCAATGTTGTCGTTAGCAAGAGAGTTTGCATATTAATCAAATTATGAATGATTTATGGTGTTTTGATTTGTCCTACGCCCCTCGCCCCTACGCTTTGGGCTAAAAGATAGCTATATTGATATATTATACGGTACGGCCACACGTTTTAATCACAGCAGAGGCCGGCGGTCTTATTACACACACACGGCAAACAACAAAGCATTAAGTGTTTAAGCATAACCGGCCTTTTGTGATGATAATAATATGTAATTTATAAACGTTTCTTAACGTCCGAGCGAACAAGCAAAAAGTCCGATACGGATTTTGAATAATTACATTGTCCGATAAATTTTGGCCACCGGGAAATCCCCAACCCTTTCCCGGTCGCCGAACCTCTTAAGGGCTAAGTATTGTTATCGGGCCCTGACCACGACCCGAAGAATATCTTCTGACTAATTAAGTGTGAATTATTAATTACACAACCTAACGAAGGGCTGGTGTAAAACAATACACACAAGCCGTCCCTTTTTTGACTTGACTTTGCATTGTCGGATGATATTTTTGTGATTAATTATTATACTATTGTATCTTTTCCCCGGCCGGTCCGACACGGCTATAACCTTTACAGCTCGGTCGGACAAGACAGGAAATTCGTTTTAACAACACATACCTACATAAATCCGGAGACCACATTTTTACACAAATGAGTCATTTCGCCAAAAGTGACCACTTTCGGTATTGAACTTTTTAACCCTTTCGGTCGCAAATTAAAATTAGGGAATATTTTTTTCTAATAGGTGCTTACTACAATACAACATGCAATACCACATTTATAATTTATTTTGTATGTTTGTCAA